TCTCAAGTTACCAGGCATTTGCAGATTGGTATACATCATGTGGAAGATGTCCCAAATTAAAGTAACCAATAGGCAAGTGAAAAAATAATGTACTACTAAAATGCTAACTACTCTGCAGTATTTGGGTTTAAAATATGAATTAGAAACCATACCTAGCACCAAACAACACAGGGATAAGAAAACCTACCTAACCGAAAAACGTGCCATTTTTGGCAAATCTTTATTGAAGTACTTATCAAGTTACTAAAATTCGTCCAGTTGAAGAATAGTGTGCTCCTGAGAGTTGTCCCATCATTATGGTACACACTGCTAAGCAAGTTTGGGATGACAACTGCAGATACAGCCAGATCTCAGAGAGCTGGTACATGTTCTGCCCACTAGACCCTGCGATTGCTGAATAATGGAGAAATTACTGACTCTGTCCAAGCAGACTAGATACTACTTGACAAACCCATCATAACACATTGTCCATGGAGTACCCCTAGGGATGCCACCAGTCTCTTATAGAGACCCTTACATCACCCCAGTAAGTCCTAATGCTGCCTTGCTAGTGCAGGCTGATGCAACCCTTGTCGAAGTTATGGTCGTTTCTTTTATTCCTTCTTTAGATAAATGTCAATCACCGTCTCGTGACATTCTCGCAGGTTCAAGTCACAAAATCCAATACAGAATTTTCCTGGAGGAGCCTTGAAGTAATCAAGTCCTCTACCAATTTTGATGATCCAACCATTGTTGAACCTTATTTCACGGTCATGAAGTGTTGCCGAGAACCCAATTTCAAGGTTTATGTTGTGTTTCTTTAAACTGTTTTTGAGTCCTTGAAGTCTCTTGGCCTGATTGCTTTGGCTTTCTGGATCTTCATCTTGAGCTACAAAAATAAAGTGGATGAAATTAGTGACAACTGATTGTTCCTAAACAGCTTTTTTCTGCATAATTTATGGGTCATCATGGTTCTCGCAACCAATTTTTGCATGACCAGCAAACAAGAAAGTCTTTGCTCATACTTTCTAACAGGCTGGTAAGCCACCCTTCATTTAGACAAATCCTTCTGTTAGACAAAATTGAATGACCTTTTTTGGCTTCAACGAAACTGATCAGCTATGCAACTCTCCCCATCTCCAAAATTTCTGCCATCCACACACTGACTACTGCAAGATTCCGATAAAATCCGGTCAGTGTAAAACACAGACTGCAGACTGCAGACCAGGGGTAAAATGCAGACTGAGGGTAAAATGCAGACTGCAGACTGCAGACTGGGGGTAAAATGCAGACTGAGGGTAAAATAAAATATTAATAATAAAAAACGAGTCATAAGGATAAAATAATAGTATTTGTAAAATGCCACATCAGGACTCTCAAAACACACAAAGGCCTCACTCAGAAATTGAATTTTGTACACGTCGAGTTATGGCATCTCTTCTACCAAAATGGTCATACTGACGATTATTTGAGAATGCCGAAATGTTATAAATTCTCGTGTTTGGATAGCCGACTGTCACCTTTCAGCGAATACCAATTCACAAACCTCTTGATATATTAAAGTCGAGTAC